TGTGTGTGTGTGTGTGTGTGTGTGTGTGTGTGTGTGATGGTCTCCATTTACTGTAAAGAGACATTTCCTTGATGAGGGGTGAGAGCTACATTTATCTATGGGTATAAGGAAAGTATTTAAAATGGAGTTAGTAATTATGCTGGCCTAGCAAAGTGGCAGTAGTAGATTCTCTTCTAAGACCCATGACCTCACTAGCCCCAGGCTGTTGGCCAGGGTTCTAGTACTATGCATGACTTCCATCCTGCTGAGTGGGCCTTAAGCCCGATTAGACAGTGGTTGGTTACCACCAATATGTGAGTGCCACGTCTCACGTCTTTATAGATGTCTTGCCATGCTGGTCACTGCTGTAGTTCACAGGCACCACAGCTCCATAGGACTGTTCATTGCTTCTCTCCCTTTGCAGCTTGCACGGTATTATCAGGTACCACGGGAGCTGGACCACAGGGAGGAGGGTTTCAGGTTAGTCATGTGCCCTAAGTGGGTGGTCTCTTCAGCAATAGGGATTTACCTTCAACCTCTGAGTGGTGATCAAGGGCTACATCGATAGTCTATCTTGTCATGGGAGTCACTTGGACTACAATGGCCATCCATTTAAAAGGAGGTTTCTTGTGACTGGTACTGGAGATTTTTGTCAGTCTATGGTTATTATGGGGAACAAAGTCAGCCCACCTGGCATAATGCCCTTTAAGGTTTAAGATATATATTACATTTTTACATCTTAATATAGATTTATATTATAAATGTATATCTTGAACATGTATAGTGTAATTTAGGTACATGTAAAACAATAAGGTTCTTTGATGCTTTATCAAGCAACCTTTGTGTTATTTGTTTGAAAAAGTACCTCTGTTTGGATTATCTATGTTATGGTATTTTTTTCCCCTCTCCATAGGATTATCACTGGTAGGCTTGGGTGACTTGTAAAGCTCAGGTTATCGTTAATGCTTTTGTAGTTACATAGAACAGACTTATAACCCCAGAGATCAAAAGTACCGAGGGTGCTTCTGCTTTGTCTGGGTAGCGCCGCCTGTCTCTGAGAACTCTGTAGCTTTGAGATCCACCATTAAAATGTGAATACTCTGGCTAGACTCCACTTTGGCCATGGCATGCCAAAGGGACACTCTAGTAATATTCATCCTGCTTGTCTCCAAGGTTGCTGGGCAACTCTAGTGAGTGCTTTTATAAAGCACAAAGCAATCCATAATACAAGGGTTTATTATTATAAACTTTCATGGACTGCCTAGATAAAGAAATGTTGGGAATGATAAAAGCTAAAGCTAGAAGGGGGAGAAACATTAAAAAAAAAAAAAACCCTAATTACTAAATGTCCCACCAATACCACAAAGACAGAGGGAACTTGACTAATTAATGACAGGAGCTCCACATTTAGGTATTTCAGTTTTACTGGCTTCAATCCTCTTTGCCTGTAAGGATTGGTTTATTTCTGCCATCGAATACCTATGAAACCACTGAGGCCTAACTGATGTGTGATTGATGTGGGCTCTGTTAATTATATGGCTGGCTTTTATGCATGAAGCTGTATCTTTGGTTTCTCTCCCTTAATTTACCTTGGTTTAACTGTTGGTCATAAAGCAGTTTCAGATATATCTGCTGAATCCCAGAGTGGAGTTTTGCAACTTGAAAGGTACCTAAGTCAGTTTGGGCATCTTAAGTAGGAAAGTTGACTTGGGGGAACTCTCGGGCTGTAAGATGGATTGCTTGGCTTTCCTTCCAGCCCTGCTGGCTCCCTCTCTGCAGCTGCTCGCTGGTGCTACCACACATCTGTTATCATTAAATGCACGGGTGGCATCAACAGTGACAAAAGGCTTAATTGCTTCCTGACAGTCTATCAGATGGGGCTTTACTCGCTCTCAATTTAGGTAGCTGGAGCTGATAACATCTGCCTACCAGTCTCCCTAGCATCTGGTACCCTTGCTAGTAGTAGCACCTGATTTTTTCCTGGGATTGCATTCACCTCTCAGGCTCTCTTATTCTTCCTGACAGTGCAATCCCATTTCTCTTGCTCCAGGGAAGGACTTGGACAAATGGAATCCCAGTGGTTGGTTTCTGGATGAGCATGTGACCCAAGCTTGGCCAATGGACAGGTACTTGGGACTTTGGCAAGAACTATTAGAAAAAGACACTCACCTCTTTCCCATTTAAACCTTTAGGTCTTGGACTTCCCATGTCTTTGCTGTTACTCAAAGTGAGCCCATCTGAGGGTGAAATGACCCCTGAGACAGGAGAGGCTAGAGGTGGAGAGATAGGCTCTTGTCATCAGGGTTTGCATGTGATTAAAGACAAGTTCATAAATGCACTCCTGTATCACATGAATAGTGTGAATGAGAATCTATCACTTAAAGTCAAGAGTCCTGATCCAGATGGTGAAACTTTAACCCATCGCCTTCCAGTGCATGCAATATATGTAAAGAGCCAAAACAGAAAGAAATTGGAGTATAAACACGGAGTTAGCAGTCAGAGCTATACACACACACACACACACACACACACACACACACACACACACACACACCACAGAAGATATTTGCCTAGGTCAATTTGACATCTGTTCTAACTTTGTTACAGAGATGTGAGTCAAAAAATCCCATGGCATCTTGGTGGCAAAGAACACACTGTGTGCTCACCGAGTGACCCAGAGAGTCACCCACCCACTCAGTCACAGCCTGCTTGTGTTAGGTGCTGAGGTGTGTTTGATGAGAAAGTCCATTGGAATCTTTCATGGACATGATGACTTAATAGTGATTCAAGTACAGCACCCGGACAGACAGGAAATGAGCAGATTTTGTCACTGTTCTGTATGGGTATTCAATACCACATGGGGGCACGCCTTGTGTTTGACTGATTGACCTCTCCTCCCTCCCTCTCTCTCTCTCTCTCTCTCTCTCTCTCTGTCTCTCTCTCTCTCTTCCTGTAACCCCCCACCCTCACTTCTTTTGAGACAGGGCCTCATGCAGTTAGGCAGGCCTTGAACTTAATTTCAGATTCTCTTGTCTTCTCATCAAGAATGCTGAGATTACAGGCATGTCCCACTGCACTCAGTCTTAACAAGTTTTGAGGAGCAAAACCAGGATGGCAGCTTCTCCTGGCTAAGCACTTTACTATCTAAACTACCATCACAGCCACCCCTCCCAGGCATGCACTACCACGCCTAGCTAGACCCTCTTATCTCCAAGGTATCTGATGCTACAGAACCACTCTGCTCCCAGCTTCTATCCAGTCTGTTTTCATGCTGAGCTCTTTCAACCTTCTAAAGCAGAAGTTCTCAGCCTATGGGTCGAGATCCCTTTGGAGTCACTTGCCAGACATCCTGCATGCCAGATATTTACATTATGATTCATCATGAAGTAGCAATGAAATAATGTTCTGGTTGGGGGGGTCACCACAACAGGAGAAACTGAATTAAAGGGTCACAGCATTACAAAGGCTGAGAACCACTGCTTTAGGAAATTGAGGTACGTTAACAATAAGTCTTAGGACTAAAAACCACCACCCATTAATCTCTATACTCTAAAGTAGTTGGCGTTCTTGTGGTAGGGCCTGTTAAGACCGCCTTTGGAGCACTTTTCCCCACTGAGTGCTAAACATCTGTCTGTATGGTTGAACGGGACTTTGTTTTTCCCAAGTCTCTGCAGCGCTCACAGCTCATAGGAGAAAACATCAAGGAGGGAAGGCTATAGGATCTGTGTAGATTGTCAAGTTAGAGGGAAAGTTAAGTCCTGATGTCAGCTGACCCTTGGGGGAAGCTGCTGTCCTCACACATGTTCTGCTTTCCTTGGCATTCCCGATGAGGTTGTTCTCCTATCACTTTTGCCAGTCTTCCATGTCCCTGTTGCCAACTAACACACAGCAATATGTACACTTCTTCCTTGCTAATAAGTTTTCCTGTGGCCTTTGCCTGCAAAGAAGATGTAGGTGTTTTTGTTGTTGTTTTGTTTGCTTGTTTTAATTTTTTTTAACCTAGGAAGGTAATGCCTTGCTTGATTTGACTGCCATTGCCACTCCAAGTCCTACTCCCTATGACTCCTCTGATCTTTTCAGGCCAACTTAGCAGACTTCAAACACATCCTCTACTTTCCCATGCTCTGACTCCAACTCTAATTCTTCATCTAGAATGTGTGGAGCCCTGTCTTGCACTTCTCACTCACAGCATTCACACATGCTGAACAACCTCCCTTCTTCTAGGGCCCCAGGAAAGCCCCCTCCTTCATGAAGCTCTCTGAGGTGTTCTCTGAAGGAAGGGATTTCCTCACACCTTGTAATCCTATCTGGTTTATTACTGCATTTATTTTGGAAACCTACTCTATTTTGTTACATAGTGGTTGTTTTCTCCTAATGACATGTCAGTTTATTAATACAGGAGGATCTCTGTGGTCTCTGAATGGATGCTGAGTTATCTCCTGAGCTGTCTGTCTCTCAACTTAACTATGGGAGTTACCACCCTATGCCCCCTATGTTCCTTCTCACACCACTGAAACTTGGAAGAAGCTGTTCTCCTTATGGGATGTGCTTGTCTCTTCCAAGCCTCCCCTCTGCTCCCTTCACAGTACAAAGTGAGGAAACCAGGTAACACTGCCATGCTCTCCAAACACTGCCGGAAGCAGTGCCATTTCTCACTAACCTGCAAGGCACTTTGTTTCCTCCCCTCCCTTCCCCTTCCTTCCATTCCTAACTCTCCTCTTCTCCTCTATTTTAGTTCAGTGTATCATTTGCTTTCAAAAAAGATTCTTTTAAAACTAAAAATATTTAATATTTATACACATATATGATGTGTTTGGATCCAATTCCTCTTCCCCCCTTTCCCTCCAAATTTCATCTCTCTCTCTCTCTCTCTCTCTCTCTCTCTCTGTGTGTGTGTGTGTGTGTGTGTGTGTGTATGTGTGTGTTAAAAGAAACAATACCTACTGAGTCTATTTAATCTTGGAACATGGGTAACCTCTCAGGGGTTGCATCCCTGAAGCACTGATTCTCCCTTCTGCAGCCATCAACTGTCAGTAGCTCTTCAGATATGGGTGGGACTTCACTAGCTCCTCCCCTTGCAGTGCTGGGATTTTTGTTGGGCTGGATCTTGTGCATGTAGTCCCAATCTTTGTGAATTCCTGTGTATAACTCTGCTGTCACAGCTGGCAAATACTGTTTTGCTACGGACATCTGCTCCTTCTGGCTCCTAGAATCTTTCCATCCCCTCTTCCACTCTGAATAATTTCCTTGACCTAATATGAACCAGGCTTCCAGAAACACTGGTCTCTGGTTCCCAGTGCATCACTGACATCTCTATTTAGGTGTTTCTTCTGCAGGCAAGCTCCTTCTTAATCTCCAGGGCTCCTGAGAGAGGTTCTTGTGGTCCTTATCTTCCTGGTGCTGAGTCATGGGTGCCCGTGGAGTTTGGCTCTCTGTTCCCACCAGGCTATATGAGGGCAGAGCTTCTCTGTTTTTTCCATTGTCATGTTCTCAGCATCTTGCAGCTCCATATACATCAGAGCTTTGTGTAAGCATCAGACTGAGGGTTTTTAATTAGAGGACCGGAAGCTGACACTGTTAGATTTATGCTTTAAATAGATCACTTGGGCACATTCATTCTTTACAGGGCAAATTCCAGGACAAATGGGAGTGAAGTGGGGGAGTGTGGAAGGGCAGGGGATTTTGAGACAGAGAAACCAGCTTGGGGAATCCATCCAGATCCAAGGGAGGCTTCTAAGGGAGAGTAATGTTTAATGCATTGCTATGAAGAAAAAATCGAGTTCTTCAGGATGCTTTTCTGGTATCGCCAAGGACCATGAGGCTATGCTCCAAGTCCCTGTAGGTCTCTCTCAGGACTGCCACTGGATTTCCACACTGAAAATTTTCACCAGAGGATCCTTGTGCCCAAGAGGATGTGGTAAAATACAATCTCAGGTGGAGGAGAGATGATGCTCAGATTTAGACAGCCTCTTCTGGATCCACTGTTCCTGTTCCCCACAGCCCTGTTTCATTAGCTAATTATTCAATAGCTCTCTTTGTTTACTCCATTGATACCAGCCTTAAGCCAATTAAGACGGTGAGTCCTTTCAAGCAGGATTGCCTCCCTATTGATCTGCAGTGTGCCAAAGCTTTAGCTCTTAGTTGTGAGGACTAAGTCACTCCTGTCTAGAGACACAAAGTCTCCTGAGGTGACCTGACTCAACAAAAGAGGAGAGGCAGGCCCCTGTTACTGGCAGCTTAGACACACAGACACAGCTAAGTGTCCCTCCTGGGCTACAGCATGGTTTTGAGCAGTGGCTTTGGGGACAAAGGTGATATCTATACAATGTTACAGAGACTTTCCCATTTAGTAGATGTATTAGACTTTTCCATTTAGTAGATGTAGTGCTTGTATTTATTTTCATGAGGACTCAGCACCGAGTAGAAGTTCAGTCTCCCTGTAGTTGTTCTTATTTGGTTGTTAAAACTGACTGAATGATCAAACAAAACTGCCAAATATGTGTGTATGTGTGTGTGTGTGTGTGTGCAGGATTGCATCAGCTTCTTCATCATTGGCCTCTATTAGAGTTGGAAATCAAAATCAAGCAGACATGACTAGGCCACAGGAGGAGATGCTTATCAGTGGGTTCCTCCCTTGGCACCATTGTCCTGTGGTCGTGTGTGGAAAGGGACACTGGACAAATCCCCATACACGATCTTTTCTCATCCTGTTCTCCAAGGTCTATTTCCCTCTAGTGTGTTTGCCTCTCTTTTCAAGTTGAGTAGCTATTGAATTAGTTATTCCTAGATGAATGAATTTTATTTTTCTCCATTGGGTGCTGACTGTGCTTCTAGCCTGCTAAGTCCTTTGGTGTTAGCCCATGGCCTGGATGGTTGGTCTACTTCTTGTTCACTATTTCCACAACTTCCGAGGACAAGCAAGGAGTGCACTTTCTTCCAGAGAGGAGAAAAAGATGGAGAGAAGAAGGGATAGGGAAAGTCAATGAGAAAATCTAATGGGTAGACAACCATCTCTTTACTTACTGAGAAGGTTTATGTGATGACTTTGGACATAGTTTTCAACAAAGAGACAGCCAAACAAATAACAAATGACAAACAGCAAAATTCTGAGTCTTATGTGCATTGACTCTTTTAAGCCTTAACTCACTCCATGGGGTAGGTAGCATGATGAACTTGCCTTTGGATGAAGAAATTAAAGCAGAGAGTAGTTAATGTGTCAAGTGCAACACATTTTGCAGATGTCAGGGCCTGGATTCTATTGAGTTTACACTAAATTATATACTTCTTCCATCTTAAAAGTTTAAAAGCTTTCTGATTAAGCTGAGATGTGAACATTTAGCTAACTTTGCTATGCGTTTAGAAAATCCACCTGGTATCATTTTCTTTCACACCTCCTATGGCCCGCCCATTTCTGGGGCATCTTTCCACATACCTTCATATGCTTATGTTCAACATTTATGTGTTTACATATTTTTGTGTACACATATTTATTTGTGTGTACATATGCATAAGTAATCATATATATGTATGTATATGTGTGTGTACGTGCCTATGAAACACAATTTGTCATTTATATGTAAGAAGGAATCACATTATAAACACAGTTATATAATCCATCTGTTTATTCATAAGAGTTCATAGAGATCCCTTCAAGACAATGGTTAGGGCATTAATTCATTCTTTTTAATGATTAAATCATACTTCAGAATATGAAGGTATTATATTAATGGAAACAGTCTTTTACAGGCAATCACTTTCTTTCCATAATGTTAACCATAGCTCTAATTGTCATAATTATTATGTTACAATGAGCAATGATTCAGTGTTCTTGAATGTATAGTCTTTCATAAGTGAGAATTATAGTTCTGCAGAAAATGATTCAGTGGTTTTCAAACAGTCAGTGTCATATAACCAAGATTATTTTAGGACATTTATGATACCCATAGAGAAAACCCCTATCCAAAGTACAAATACAAACTTCATTGAGATTTCATCACATCCCAGTCAGAATGGCAGTTGTCAAGAAAACAAAAGCCACAAGTGCTGTGAGAACATAGGGAAATGAATCCTGTACATTGTGGTTCCTTAAAACACTAAAAACAGCATTGCTCAGTGGGTAGAGTGCTTGGTGTGTAAGCATGACCATCTGGGTTTGGATTCTAGCACACTTGTAAAAAGCCTGGCTTAGCAGCATGAGCTTGTAACCTCAATGATGGCGAGAGGGTGGGTAGACATCGGCAGATCCTAAGAGTTTTATGGCCTGTCAGTGATAAACCAGTCAGATTCAGTGAGAGACATTGTCTCAAAAAGCAAGAAGGGGATGAAGAGATTGCTCAGCACATAAAGGCATTTGTTCTCAAGCCTGAGTTCAACCTCTGGGATCCTCATGGTGGAAAGAAAGAACCAACTCTCCTAAATTGTCCTCTGACCTCTACATGTGTGGTGTGGCACACACACCCACACATAAATAAATACAGGTGATAAAAACGTTAGGAAGATAACAATAGAAGAAGATATCTGGTCTATCTCCGGCCTCCATACATGTTCGTATAGACAAGCACATTCTTCACACACATGGGCACAACACATCTCCCTCCCTCCCTCCCTCCCTCTCTCTCTCTCTCTCTCTCTCTCTCTCTCTCTCTCTCTCTCTCTCTCACACACACACACACACACACACACACACACCATTACTATCATATACTCCTGAGTATATACTGAGGAATCTATATCAGTGAACCTCAGAGATACCTGTACACCACATTTATAGGTAATGAGTAGATGAAGAAAATGTGGTGTACACACAAAGAAGGATTATTCAGCTATATAGAATGAAATTCTGACATTTGCAAGAAAATAGAGCCAGAGAACATCACGTTAAGCAAAATAATCCATACTTAGAAGGGCAGATTTCACACATTTTCTCTCACATGCAGAACCCGGGGGCTGTGGGGCAGCGATGAGAAGATACAGAAGCAGAAGAGAGACTGGCAGGGAAGAAGGTAACTGGCAAAGGTGGAGGGAGGGGGAGAGCAGCTAAGAGGGAGGTCAACATGATCAAAGTGTGTCGTGTGCATACATGAAGATGACACATTGAAGGGCAATTAGTGTACACTAATGAGTGGTCGGTTAGAAGATGGAATTCCTTACCTGGTGAAAGCAACTTCCCACATCTATCCAGTTGTTCACCTTGAGGCAAAAAACAAGTCTACTCTGTCTCTACAGAATTACCTGCTGTGGACAGTTCATGTAAATAGAGCTGTACAGGGTGGTCTTCTGTGGCTGGCTTCTCTCTCTTAACATCCCTTCTGCATCCATGCATGCCTCAGTCAGTGTTCTATTGCTGTGAAGAGATACCAAGGCCAAAGCAACTCTTGCAAAGGAAAGCATTTCATTGAGGCTTGCTTTCAGTTTCAGAAGTTTATTAGTCCTTTATTGTGTCAGGGAGCATAGTGGGCACACAGGCAAACATGGTGCTGGAGAAGTACCTGAGAGTTTTACATCTGAATTTATGAATCTACAGGAAACAGCAAGAGAAAACCACGGGGCCTGGCTTGGGCTTCTAAAAACCTCAAAGCCCACCTCCAGTGACACACTTCCTCCAACAAAGCCACACCTTTTAATCTATTCAAATAGTGCCACTCGCTGGTGACCAAGCAATCAAATCTCCGAGCCTTTGGTAGCCATTTCCATTCAGACAACTACAATGCATGTTCACCATGCATTGGTACTTTATTCCTTTTTAGATCCAAATGGCATTAAAATATCAATTAACTGTGTGGCTATGACAGCTTTTGTTTGTTCAGCCATCCACGGACATTTGCCAACTTCCTCCCTTCAGCTGTCATGTTTATGGCTACTGCGAGCATGGTAACACACCACTGTTTGAGTGTGTGTTTTCAGTTATTCTGAGTCTAAACCTAAGAAGTGCATTGCTGGGCCATATGGAGACTTTGCATTTACCTGTTTCAGAAAACACAAGACTTTTCCCTAGGTTGTTTGTAACACATTACTCTTCTACAAACAGCTCCAAGTTAGCCTCTTTTTGAGTCCAATCTTACTTGTGGGCATAAAGTGCTGTCTCACTGCAGTTTCACTTGCATCTCTCTGGTGGCTGATTTTATCACTGAACATCATGTTATGCACTCATTGCCATTTGCACACCTTCTTTAGTGGTATCCACTCAAACCATTTGCCTTCTTTTCATTGCTGATGTGTATGAATTCTTTATGAGGTCTGGGTACATTTTTTTTTGTTGGACACATACTTTGCATGTATGTTCTCCCATTCTGTGGGCTTCCTTCTGTTTTTTGATGGTGGTTCTTTGAAGTATCAGTTTTAATCTTAACAAAAATTTAGTGAATTTGGTGACATATTTAAGAGGGCTTGCCTAACCCGAGGCCAAGACTCCACTGTCTTCAAAGAATTTTATAGTCTTACCTTTATGTTCAGTCTTGTCTCAGTCTGTTTTGACTGCTATAACAAAAATATCAAGACTGTGTAATTTATAAACAGGAAATTTATTGCTTATAGTTAGTTCTGGAAGTTAGACAGTCCAAGGACAGGATGTCAGAAGATTCACTGTCTGCAAGGACCCATGCCTCGTAGTACTGTTATGATGACTCTTCTTGCCAGCCTGGTCCCAGTGCTGCATCAACCCCAAATAACACACAGAGACTCTATTAGTCACAATACTATTGGCCAATGTCTAGGGCTTCTTATTGGCTACTTCTGTCTTAAGTATTAACCCATAACTACTAATATATGTATTTCTTTTTTTCTTTCTTCTTTTTCTTTCCTTTCTCCGAGACAGGGTGTCTCTGTGGCTTTGGAGGCTGTCCTGGAACTAGCTCTTGTAGACCAGGCTGGCCTCGAACTCACAGAGATCCTCCTGCCTCTGCCTCCCAAGGGCTGGGTCTAAAGGCATGTGCTACCTACAAGGTCTTATCTTACCTAGAATGCCAGGCTCATGAGTCCTCTCCTCCTGGGATCACATAGTGACTTCCTACTACATTTCCCAGGATCCTCCTTCTCTCCTAGTCCTGCTTATCATGCTTCCCTATTGGCCAACAGTGTTTTATTCATCAACCAATAAGAGAGACATATTTACAGAATGACATCTCCCATCATGGTATATTACTGCTATTGATAATCACCCTATCATGCAGTAGAACATGGGTGTTATCTGGCACCGTGTGTGTGTGTGTGTGTGTGTGTGTGTGTGTGTGTGTGTGTGTGATGACCATGGGAGCCAGAAGATTGCACTGGATTTTCTATAACTGTAGATGGTTATGAGTGTTGTGGGTGCTGGAAATTGAATCCATGTCCTCTGGGAAAGGAGCAACTTCTTTTAACTACTGAGCCATCTCTCCAGCCCTGATTTCTTTCTTTGAAAGTTAGTCACTTCTTGTGCATTGGAATGACCTATGTACACGATCATATTCTTTATTGTTTGTGCTTTCAAAACATTTACTCACAGAGGAAGAGAAATCATCAGTAATTCCAAATTCAATAGATGGACCCCTCCCCCCACTTTCATTCAGGTTTAGCTTCATTACTGCCTCACTTCCTACTTGAGAGGTGGATTGATTTAGTCCTTGACTTCTCAAAGTAGACAGAAGAGGAGAAGGGAATAATAGTAACTCTTTTTAGGGGAGAAGCCTGGAAAATACCAAGTGAGGGAGGTTAATGCCATCACTGACAGTGTGTTCTACGTGGCGAGGAGACTGGTTCACACTTGGGGCATACTTTCCTGAATGGTATAATCCTTCAGATTTTGACAAAACATTGAAGGTGTTGGAGGAAGAGCTTGTAAGGGGAGTGGGGTGGAGAGTAGTGGAAATACACAAGTCTCCCCTTGTCGTGCACATCTTATATCTTAAGAGACCTTTCTAATAATATAGCTCATTGTTAGGAAGTTCATTATTATGTATGCTGAGATTGTAGTTTAGGCATAAAGCACTTACCCAGCATGTGCAAGGCCATGGGTATGTGCAAGGCACATACCCCAGGTATGTGCATGTTTGCACACCCACCATCACACATCTACATTCATGTACACACACACACACACACACACACACACACACAGACATACACATGTACACATAAATTATATCTTTTCTTTTATCATTCCCTTTCTTTCCTTTTCTATTTCTTTTTCCTCTTTCTCTCTTTCTTTCTAACTTCCTCTTCTCTCTAAATCTCTGTGGTACAAATGATTAAATTTTGGGCCTCACCCACACCAAGCAATTGCTCTACAACTAAGCTAAATTCCCAAGCCTGAAGGTACTAATTTTAAATGTAGTTTTGGCTTTTTAAAGTTGAGACCGACTCTCCCTGTATAGCCCAGGTTGGTTGTGGAATTATAACACTTCTGCCTCATCTTCTTGAACGATGAGATTGCAAGTCTGTGTTAGTTATTTTTCTGTTGCTATGATAAAATTCTCTGACAAAAAAGCAACTTGGGGAAGAAAGGGTTTGTTTCAGTTTATGGTGATAAAGGGATAGAGTGCGTCATGATGGGGAAGGCAAGGTATGATAATAGGAGCAGGAAACTGACCACATTTTCATCAGCACAAGAGAGAGAGAGAGAGAGAGAGAGAGAGAGAGAGAGAGAGAGAGAGAGAGAAAGAATGGGATGTGAGAAAGTCCACAATATGTGAAGTCCCACCTCCAGTGACATACTTCCTCTAGCAAGACTTCACTTCCTAAAAGTTTCATAACCTCCTCAAACAGCACCACCAACTGAGACTAAGTGTTCATCAACAGGTGCCTGGTCTAGTTTATCTTCTGTTCCTGTGACAAAGCACCATGGCCAAAAGCCAAGCAGGAAAGGGGTTATTTCCTCTTCCAATTCTCAGGTCACACTCCATCACTGAGGGACGTCAGGACAGGAACCTGGAGGCAGGAGCTGAAGCAGAAACCATGGAGGAGCACAGCTGATTGGCTTCCTCTCCATGGCTTCCTCAGCCTGATTTTCTAGAGGAGAGTGTTTAGAGACAACGTTTCTCTGTGTAACATCCCCGGCTGTCCTGGAACTCTCTTTGAAAACTAGGCTGGCCTCAAACTCACAGAGATCTACTTGCCTCTGCCTCCCGAGTGCACCATCATGCGTGGCTTCTCTTTTTGTTTTGTTTGTCTATTTTTTTCCAGTCTGCTTTCTTATACAGCTCCATTCCACTGGCCCAGCGGTAGCACCTTCCACAGGGGCTGTTCCACCTCTATCAACTGGCACTCAAGACAATGCCCCCACAGACTTGCCTGCAAGCATTCTGATGGAGACATTTCTCATTTTTTGGGAAAATTGAGGTTTCTCTTCCCATTTGACTGTAGCAAATGCTAAGTTGACAAAAATCAAAAACAAAAAACCAGGACAGGGTTCTTTCTTATCCAAACCACCACAAGCATAACACCATACTCAGCTTGAATTTATCTTTAAAACATCTCTGTTAAGATACAATGCACTTAAAGTATGCCATTGTGTGAGATTTTGGTACATCTGATTCTACAAGTACTGGTACAATACATTTGGAATACTTTCAGCACACCTCAAACCCTATTTCCGTTAGCTGCTGCTTCCCTTCTTATCCAGTCCATCCTTGCCACTCCCAGGAAACTACTAGCGTACTGAGTCTTAAGAGAATTGCCTACTTTGGACATTTTGTCTGATGTAATCAAATGGCATGTGACTTTTTGTGGTTGGCTTCTTTCACTTTCCAGGCTCATCAATGTTCTGTGTAGGATGTGCCAATCATACTATTGTCCCATTTGAATTGTTCCTGGTTTTGACTATTACGATGCCTGTGTGCAAAGATTTGAATGAGCAGTATTTTTACTTTTCTTTGGTGTATACCTACATGTAGAATTACTATCTTTAACACTTTGAGAAGTAATCAAACTATTTTCTGAGCAATCACAGGGCATTTTGTACTTTTTTTCCCCTAGTGATGTGTGAGGATGTCTTTTCCTTGTTTTTCTCTTTTTCCTTCCTTCCTTTCTT